TGCGAGTGAGATCCCAGTGAAAAGAACAGGCCATCAAAGAAAGGAAGTTACCTTCCTCTGAAAGGGAAGAAGAGAACCTCCACTTTGACTATGATCTTGTCTAAAACAGAATAGAAGTCGGAGAACTCAGGAGAGCTTCCATAGCCTTGGAAACTCATGACTGAAGCATAGGGAGATTACTGATGCCATAGACAGGAGTGTCAATTGGTAAAGTCAACAACAGGAGTCACTGTGCACTTACTCCTCATGTAGGATCTCTGTCCTTAATGTGCTGTACACTGAGATTTAATGCTATAACGAGTACTCAAACAATATATTTCACTTTGTGTTTCTATGGGGGTGCAAACTGTTGAAATCCTTACTTAATGCATACTAAACTGATCCTCTGTAAAAAAAAAAAAAAAAAGAAAAAAAAGAAAGAAATTATCAATTCCCAACTTGACTCTCACTGGGATTAAACATGACAATAGGTCTGCTCTGATTTCATCATCATTTAAAAAAAATCATCTATTATTTTTCACTTTATGTTTCTGTGTGGGAGCAAACTGTTGAAATCCATACTTAATGTATACTAAGCTGATCTTCTGTATATTAAGATAATCGAAAATGAATCTTGATGTGAATGGAAGGGGAGAGGGAGTGGGAAAGGGGAGGGTTGTGGGTGGGAGGGACGGTATGGGGGGAAAGCCATTGTAATCCATAAGTCGTACTTTGGAAATTTATATGCATTAAATAAAAGTTAAAAAAAAAAAAAAAGAACAATTGATAATGAAATACACTTGATAACAGAAAAAAAAAAACATTAAGCTAATATTCACAGAGAAGTATAAAAAAAACTTACTACTAAAAATAATAATCTTCTTACCTGGTCAGCATCAACAAAAATGATTTTGTCCACTGCTAGTGGGAAAAGGACATCAAGGAAAAGAATTTTGTAACCCCAAATAATCCTTTGCTTTTCCGTCTGTTGATGAAGCCAACGAGGCCACCTATATTGGACTAGCTCATACTGGAATCCATATTCCTTAGCCATGTGAGGAATCACCTCCTAAAAACACACATGCAAAATCAAACAATGGATTCAAAGAAGAAAAAACATTTTGACATTTTAAAAGGCAGAGTTTACTATAAATTGTTATAACTAATTAGCACAATGTACTTCTCTGATATCTAGAAATGAGAAATACACAAATGCTAATAGGAAAACAAAAGTACACATAAAACTATATAATTTAATGTCTTTGAAAAAATGCAGCTTGGTAAACAGCACACTTATTAACTATGATAAATGTTCCCATATATTCACTATTGGTGCTGAAAAACCTCAACTCCAGAAAGAAAGCCTCCAGGTCTCAGATTATCTTTGTAACAAACTGTGTATGCTAGCATGCTGGCTGATAGATACAAAGATGCAAAGGGGGTACAAAACACCTCAAAATGAGGTAAACATTAATAGGTTCTATTTTTATAGAAGTTTCATGCTTGAGGTTTAATTTAAGGATTAAAAATAAATATTGTGTTCTGAAGAGTTGATATGTGATTCAATGTGTTCTTAGAGAAATATCTTATTGCCTGTATAAAAAGCAGTTAATAAATCATTGGCTAAATTTGGTTCAAGTGTCCCCAAATAGAGAGGAACGATGTTAAAGGAGTAGTGAGATATGGAATTTGCTTTTCCTCATTCAATTCTCATCCATAACTACTTGATAAGTTTAGGCTTAGTTCTATCTTTTCTTTGCTTTTATAAGAATAATATAAATTTCAAATAAGGTCTTTTTTTAAATAAAATAAAATAAGCTCTTTAACATAGGCATCAATTTGTGAACTGGAACACTGAAATCATGGCTAAAGCAGTTGCTAGGAATCATTATTTAGCTTTCTTTTAAATTAGGTTAATTAAAATAATTTTTTATTCAGGAAATAGATACTAAAAATATTCCCTAAAATAGGCTACATGCTAGACACTGTTCTGGGCCCTAGGGATACTGTCAGGAACAAAAGGAGTAGAAATCATGGCCTTCATGAAGCTCACATTTTAGAGGTGGCAGGTAAAAAACGGAAATGATTAAGTTAGCAAAAGAAGATAGCGCTACAGAGAAAAATTAGAAGAGGGATAGAGTGATAGATAATGGGGGATTATAGTTTGCACAGTGTGGTCAGGAATTATTATTATCTTTTTAAGATTTTTATTTATTTATTTGACAGGTAGAGTTACAGACAGTGAGAGAGAGAGAGAGAAAGGTCTTCCTTCCGTTGGCTCACTCCCCAATGGCCGCCACAGCCGGAGCTATGCTGATCCATAGCCAGGAGCCAGGTGCTTCCTCCTGGTCTCCCATGCGGGTGCAGGGCCCAAGCACTTGGGCCATCTTCCACTGCCTTCCCGGGCCACAGCAGAGAGCTGGACTGGAAGAGGAGCAACCGGAACTAGAATCCGGCGCCCATAAGGGATGCCAGCGCCGCAGGTGGAGGATTAACCTAGTGCACCACCACACCGGCCCCAGGAAAGAATTATTAGTAAGTACAATTTTGGCAAGTAAGTGAAAGCAGTTAGGAGGTATGGCTTTACAAACTGGAGGGGAGGGATCTTGAATGTTGGCAAGTTCTATATCTGCTGGATTCAGTGTTCTAAGTTTGTAAAAATTCATTAAAATTACACACTTTTTGTGCCTTTTCTAGGTATATGTTTCACCAAGAACTTTTCCCAAGAAAAATTTTGAGAGAAAGAAAGAAATTAAAGGAATTAGGAAAAGAGTATTTCAGATAGGTTATTAGTTTCAACCATGCACTAGAACAAGTTTTTTTAATCTAGACATAACACTATTTTCTAATGAACAGCACTGTTTCCTAATAAGAGAGCCTTTAGATTCTATCACCTCAACATATGTGGAGTTATCATCCTGTGCAGTGTTTGGCTAGCAGTAAAATGTTAAAAATCCAGTAACAAAACAGTTAACTTTTGGTCAATATTTATGAGTTCTTTTGCAGTTTTTGTCTATTCTAAATGAGTCCAGGTGGTGGCATGTGTTAGTGGTGGGGGCATATGGGATGTTCCATCAGGGTTAAGCACTGTGCATTCATGTCAGAATACCATGTTCCTAATTAGGCATTTTTGTTTCAAGCCTGTGATATAAAAGTGAATCTTCACCAAAGAAAGGTAGCCCCCTTTGCCTGTGATTACTGGGAAATGATCTCTACTTTGGAGTGTTCTGGCAGGAGTATCTTTATTTCTCTGGGTCATGTGACTTACGGTGAGGACTTTGGGCCCTATGACAGATCAAGTTCAGGAGGGGCTAGTGGCTGTCAGCCAGGTCCACGCTGAAGTGTGAGCGAGCCTTCCTGGAGGGCCATGCTCTTTGAATATCGTCACACACATCTGCTGGCAGAAATAAGCAGCATCTTCGCTCCTCTGCTGGGAGAAGACAACTGGCAACTCCATCTGGTCTCCACTCTCTACACTGGACACTATACTACCCTACTTTGCATTGATTTTATTTGTAAACTTTTGTGTAGTAATCTGTAACTCAGAGTTTTTGAGTTTGAGGAGTCCTCCTGGTGAGTTACTGAATTTAAGGATGGTATGAGGTTCCTCCCAATTGTGCAGGCTAGTCTGTTTCCTTATCACAAGGCATTACTATGATGAATCACTGAATAATTTTAATACAGCACTTAGCAAAATGCCTTGGCATATTAAGGGATAGAAGCATAATTAGCTACTTTTGCTTTTGCTTTTACCACCTCTTCTGGTATAAAAAAATGGAATCTTTGAACTGCTGATGAATGAGACCTAACTCTCAAAAAATGTGATTATTTTATAGTGAAGATAGAAGAAACAGAGTTTGCTTTGCAGCAGGAGTGTAGGGGCTTATTAAGGGTAATAGATGGTGGTCACTTTCCAAATGGAACTTGGATCATGATGCCCAGAGAACCAGAGCAATCAATGCAGAGCACAAAGACAAAAGAGCTTTATTATTTTTAGTACTATGAAAGTATTTACTATGGCACAGTTTTCATATTTTTTGATATTAGTAATGTTCCTATTATTGCAAAAATATAACAAAATCCAGTATGTTCACTAAAATATTTATATATATTTCCATTGTCAAATTTTACTATTCATTACAAAGAAAAAACCAATAATCTTTCTGTATATTTTCTAAGTAAAACATGCTGTTTCTTGCTTTCTTTTTCCTTTAAACACCTCTTTAAACATGGCACAGGAATTTTCTTAGTCTAGATAAAAAGTATTGAATATTAAAGTTTTAAAATTTATTAAAACTTATAATGAGTAAATACACATTTCAAAAGCCTCACACTGAAGATAAATGTTACATAAACTTACAGTGATAACAAGAATTTTCATCTCAAACATTAACCACTCTATAAAGGAAGTTATGCACTTACTTTAAATGTTGGTGAGAGATAATTTTTTAGAAACCAGAATTTCACAGGTGTTTTAGTGTTACGCAAAACAGAGAGCATCATAATTCTGTATAAACAAAACATGAAACCCAATATAAGTTACTATTAATAGAAGTTCATCAAATTTTTTAGACTTTCAAATATTGAAATGTATGAATAAGTTTTTCACTATGAGTTATGAAGAAACAAACTTAAATATCTTCAAATACCACGGTTGATCAAATATGTAATATATATAGAAATACATATGTGTCTAATGCACACTAAATTGACTGGGTTTTGTTTGTTCCAGTTGACAAGCTAGTCTGGAATAGTCTTGTTTAGTGGAATCAGATTCTAATCTTGGCTCTATTATTGTGTGATTAATATCAGGTCTAAAACTTGAAGAGTTGAATGATCTGTGCATTCTGATAAATTCACTGGAAAGTTCACTTGTTTTGTTATCCTAGAGTTCTGAATGAAAAGCATATACACATACCTAAAGTACCTTTTTAAAATATCTATACTACAATGTAAATACTTTTAAGGCTGGTGAAAAATAGTCTTTGTACCCTATAAATAAGCTTTCCCATTCTTATCTCCTTTTTATAAAACAAATTATTTCTTCACTGGAAAAGAAATAAGCACTATGTATATTTTTCCTCACTTATCATCTCATTACAGACTATGTCTGTTTTCTAGGTTTACACAAGACCAATATTCCAAACCAAATAAAACTCATAAAATTTCACAATATTTTAAAAATACACATACTTCAAAATTATGAGTTTAAAAAAAAACAAGATGAAGAGCAGTATACACTGTGTTTCTATTTGGATAAGTATGAAGTAAAGAAAAAACTACCTGTGCATATCTGTATTGTAGAATATAAAAATAATATTATTGTTTATGGGAAAAAGAACTGAGTATCAAGGAAACAGATGAGTGATTTTTTCCACTGTACTTTCCTTTTATTCATTCTTCTTGAATCATGTCAAAATATTAGAAAAAAATATACCTACCTTAAAAAGCGCTCATATAAATGGCCCGAAGCAACTGAAAAAATGTTCAGAACATCTTTTTTATCTTTGTCATCTTCTTTATGCAACCTTCTTGTGAAACTTGGAATAAAAAAGTAGTAATTGGCCATTTTTTAATATTCATCTGCAAACTTTACAAGCCTAAATACTAGATTTGGTAAACAATAAAATAGGATTGCCTCTTAAGAATGAATGGCTATTAACTATAAACAAACTCTTATCCTAAAAATCATGGTTAATATTAAAGCATATGACAATAACACTTCAAGTTTATGAGTTTTTATTTTTTTTTTTTATTATTTTTTTATTTTTTGACAGGCAGAGTGGACAGTGAGAGAGAGAGACACAGAGAAAGGTCTTCCTTTGCCGTTGGTTCACCCTCCAATGGCCGCCGCGGCCAGCGCGCTGCGGCCGGCGCACTGCACTGATCCGATGGCAGGAGCCAGGAGCCAGGTGCTTTTCCTGGTCTCCCATGGGGTGCAGGGCCCAAGCACCTGGGCCATCCTCCACTGCACTCCCTGGCCACAGCAGAGAGCTGGCCTGGAAGAGGGGCAACCGGGACAGAATCCGGCGCCCCAACCGGGACTAGAACCCGGTGTGCCGGCGCCGCTAGGCGGAGGATTAGCCTAGTGAGCCGCGGCGCCGGCCAAGTTTATGAGTTTTTAAAACATGAAGTGCAATTCTAATCAATATTCGATATGTTTTCAATATGTGGTACCCACTGTGCCATAACACCGGCTCTAACCTGATTCTTTAACAACAACGAATGAACTATAGGAAAAAAAGCCTACAGGGCACTTAAGACACAATCTACATTATATGATTGGATCTGGGGTTCCCAACAGCACTGAGCGGCAGCTCCCAGTCAAAACTGGAAGCAAGGAACTCAATCCAGTTCTTGCACATCGGTGCCCGGGACACAATTATTTTAGCCATTAGTGTTGCCTTCTTGGGTATGCCTTAGCAGGAAGCTGGAGCTGGGATTCAAACTCAGGCACTCTGATACAGGATTGGGTATCTAAACTGCTAGGTTAAATGCTTGCTCCTACATTTTTTTAAAGTAACAATATAACTTATTTTTGTCCTAACACATTATATTTAATATCTCATCTATACCAGTTTAATTTCTATTCTTTAAGGAACATATCCAATTTTTTTTCCTTCATGTAACCAGGTATCTTCACCTGTCAACTTTTGAAATCATGTCTGTCCTCAGAAGACACTGTTGCCACCCAGTCCTCTAAGAAGTCTTTCTTGAACTTCTTCCTAACTAGATGTACCCTTTCTATCTCCTTTGGTGTGTATAACATTTTATTTTCAGTTGCCTCATGGCTTGAGTTCCCTAACTTGTGTAAACTGCGTCTAGGAAGAACATATGTCAACATAATGGAATATATGATAAGTCAACAGCCAGCATCATACTGAACGTGAAAGGAAGCATTCCTACTATCTGGAACCAGATAAAAATATCCTCTCTCACCATAATATAGTTCTGCAAGTTCTAGCCAGATTCAATAGGCAAGAAAAAGAAATCAAGAGGATATAAATTGGAATTGAGGAAGTCAAATGAGCATTTCTGAATCTATCTTACCTTGCTTAAGGGAGAAGATTTATCCTTTCATTTTTACCACCTACAGGGCTTCTATCTCCTAGACTTTTAATCCAATCTAGTTATGTGTTAAAATATTCATTAGTAATTACCTTTTAATGGAATCCCACATTCCTTTGCTTGTTTCATCTTTATCAGTAAGGATGTCTTCCTTAATTTTGTCTTGTTTTTTTTGCACCTATATGGCATGGTGAAGAAAAATTTTAGAATTAGGCAGCTTTAAATATTATGTTGCATGGTTACAGAGTGACACATGTTAGACAATATCACCCTTGGAACCTAAGATAGGAAACTGGTAATTGAAGCTATGTAATATTTTACTACAACTTATGGGCAAAATGTACTCTGCAAGTATCAATCAATTCAACCTCATTTTCATTTCTTTGATGGTGACCTTTATATTGTTAAATAAGATGCTTATACCTGGGTTAACGGATTTATAAACTTTAGACGTTATCTAGTAGTATTTCTGGACTCAAGAGTTTAGACATTATTGATCCTGTTAATACAGATGAGCAGCTCACTAATATTACTTTTCCCTTCTTCTCCATGTCTGGATTTTAAAATAGTAAAATCTTTATCATCAGCTTTTCTAGGGAGTTTTTTGTAACTCTGAATCAGTTTCACTTCCTAATTCTGCATGTAACCTGTTCATCTCTGACCACAGACCTGAGAAAGCTTCTTAAAAAAATTCGATAGCAGGCAAGATGGTAGAATAGTGACAGGGAGGTCTGTTCTAGGCTATGTGAACTTAGCAGAAAAAAAAAGTGGAGAAGGTACACTGTCAGGGAAAACTGCAGTGTGAGGGGTCTTGTGAAAGCGGTAGAAATGGCCTGGACCCGAGGAGAAGGTGCAGATGCACAGCAACGAGCAGGGAGCGTGGAGCACAAACACAACAAAGGACCCAGCAGCCCACTCTGGCTAGCAAGCTGAGGTCAGACTGCACTGGCCCGTGCCACTGCTGATGCAACTGGAGGGACAGTCTTGGAGACTGCACCATGTTTGAGTTTGGCCCCGGGCCCTCAGGGGGCCTGGGTGATTCCTCAACTGGAGTGGGAAGGGGGCAGAGAAGCGGCATGTCTCTCTACGTCTTCCCCCACCACACCAGCACCCTGCAGCTACCTGTGAGGAAGCTGGAGCTGCTTCAGACATAAACAGATAGCAGCTGCCCCAGCTGTTTTGTGCACACCTTGCAGCTAGAGGGGACTGCTGGCAGGGGCAACCATAGCAGTTCGAGAAAACTGGTTGGGTCTGTCCTCACCTTGTCATTGGGGCAACACCATCAGCCCCACTGCACCCACTAGGCAACAGGAGTGGGGGGCATCCCCACCAAAGGGAAGTGCTGTCCACAGGGACTCTTTTATCTGCCCAGCACAACTGTGAAAAGAGTAGGGCTGTGGCTGGTGGGTACTGTGCACACTTTTGATCCAGGGATTTTACCAGGGGGAAAAATCCACATTCCCCAGTGACTCTGAGTCTAGCTTGGGGGATAGGACTTGATCCAACTGGGCGAAACACACATGGGCAGTGGCTCTGGCAACCCCTCGGTCTCCCTTTGGACAGACAGGCTAGTGGGGCAGGGTGGACTCTCTTGCACTTCTTGACCATGGAGCCCTGGGTGCCGAGACTGAAAATACTGTGACTGTGTGAGAGGAGGCAGAGTCTCTCCGGGGTTCTGGGTAAGCTCTGTGTGCAGAGCCAAACTCTCAGAACTGTGGTAGCCATGGCAGCTCATTGCAGTTGAAACTGTGCTCACAGGGAGAGCTGCACAGATCATTCAACTGGTTGAGTGCTGAATACACTGGGGACTAACACCTGGACATTGATCATCTTCAAGAAGAGATGACAGAATGATCACACCAACAGACATGACCACCGCCCCCTTCTGTTAATAAGAGGTGAGCTAACACCCCAGCTTGGATGTTACCCTGGATACTTGCTCCACCCTGGAGCACAGATCGGAGCTCTCTGGACATACCCACCACACATCTCTCAGTATTCAATGAAAGCACAGACAGACTAAGCTATAGCTCAAAAATAAAAGCCATCAGAGGGGGAAAAAAAAACAGTTATTCCACCAATGCCTAAAAAGAAAAGCAGAAATTCAAGAAACAAAAATAAGAAGACACCATGGCACTCTCGGAGAAAAACAACATTTCAATATTAGAATGTGAAGATGAAGAGATTGATGAAATGCTGGAAATGGAATTCGAAAAACTAATCATAGGATTACTCAAAAGCAATCAGAAGCAAACCCACAAACTAAAGAAAACCACACATGACATGAATGAAAATTTTCCCCATGAAATTGAAATTTTAAAGAGAAATCAAAATGATATATTAGAAATGAAGAATTAAAAAAATCAATTAAAATGTAGTGGAAAGCCTTAACAGAAGAGTTGGCAAGGCAGAACAAAGAATATCTGAACTAGAAGATAAATCTTTGAAAATCCTACAGTCAGATAAAAAATAAAAACAAAGAAGAAGAAAATAGAAAACTTAAAATCAGTGTTAGAGATGAATGGGATACTATCAAACAACCCAACATACAAGTCTTAAAAGTTCCTGAAGGTAAGGAAAGAGATCATGGAATACAAGGCCTATTTAGTGAAATAATTACAGAAAACTTCCCTAGTTTGGAGGAAGAAAGGGATGTCAAGTAGAGGAAGCACGCAGAACTTCTAACAGATATGATGAGAAAAGATCTTCACCACAAGGCATTGTAGTCAAACTCTCCACAGTACAATGTAAAGAAAAGTTTCTAAAATGTGTACAAGAAAAATGCCAATTTACTTTCAGAGGATCACCAATTAGACTCAGAGTTGACTTCTCAACAGAAACCCTACAGGCTAGAAGGGAATGGAGAGATATAGTTCAAATCTTAAAAGAAAAAAAACCTGTCAATTCAGAAAATTGTAACCTGCAAAACTCTCATTATATGAATTAAAGTGAAATGAAGACCTTCCATAACAAACAGAACTGAAAGAATTTGTCACCACTCACGTGCTATACATGTGCTATACATAGAAACACAGATAACCACCATTATTAAAGAATATGAAGGCAGAAAATCCCCCAGTAGAAGTACAAAAGAAACGCAAAGTAAACAACAGGAATATTTATGGAAGAATAGCAGGGCCAATTTGTTATTTATCAATAATCACCCATTGAAAGTAAATGGCCTCTAATCTCCAGTTAAAAGATACAGACTGGCTGAATGGATTAAAAAACAAGACCCATCTATTGGCTGCCCACAAGACACAGATCTCACTAATAAAGATACATACAGACAGACAAAGTGAAAGGGTGGAAAAAGGTATTCCATGCTAACAGAAACCATCCAAATATCAGACAAAATAGACTTTAACAAAAAAACCATTGAGAGACAAAGAAGGAGACTATATAATCATTAAGGAATCAATTCAACAGGAAGATGTGACTATAATAAATATATATTATATATACCTAATTAAATACCACTTTGCTATTTAAAAGAAATGCTAAGGAAATGTAACAGTAGACACCACAGAAATAAAAAGAATCATGAGGAATTCCTACAAAGAGCTGTATGCTAACAAATTGGGAAACCTATAAGAAATGGATAGATTCCTGAACACATACAATCTACCAAGTCCTGAAGACTTAGAAAACCTAAACAGACAAATAATCAAGACAGACATTTAATAAGTAATAAAAAAACCGCCCAAAGAAAGAAAAGCCCAGGACTGGATGGCTTCACTGCTGAATTCTACCAGACATTTAAAGAAGAAGTAATTCCAATTATTCTCAAGATATTCCAGACAATTGAAAGGTTGATAATCCTCCCTAACTCCTTCTAATAAACCAGCATCACCTTAATTCCTAAAACAGAAAAAGATACAACAAAGAAAGCGAACTATAGACCAATATCTCCTATGAACATAGATGCAAAAATCCTCAGCAAAATATTAGCCAATTGAATCCAACAACACATTGGAAAGATCACTCATCTAGACCAAGTGGGACTCATCCCTGGTATGCAGGGATGGTTCAACATTTGCAAATCAATAAATGTGATAAATCACATTAACAAATTGAAGAACAAAAACCACATGATTATCTCAAAAGATACAGAGAAAGCATTCAATAAAATACAACATTCTTTCAAGATGAAAATAATCAAATTTGGTATAGAAGGAACATTCCTCAACAAAATCATGGAAATCTATGACAAATCCATGGCAAGCATCCTATTGAATGGAGAAAAGCTAGAAGCATGCCCACTAAGATCTGGAACTAGACAAGGATGTCCACTCTCATCATTGCTATTTAATATAGTCCTAGAAGTTTTAGAACCATTAGGTAAGAAAAATAAATCTAAGGGATTCAAATTGGAAAGGAGGAAATCAAACTATCTGTACTTGTAAATAACATGATTCTATATATAGGGGATCCAAAAACTATACTGAGAGAGTATTGGAACTCCTAAGAGTTTGGTAAAGTGACAGGATATAAGATCAACATGGAAAAATCCATAGCCTTTGTATACACAGACAATGTCATGGCTGAGGAAGAACTTTTAAAATCAGTCCCATTCACAATACGTCCAAAAGAACAAAACACTTTGGAATAAATTTAAACCAGGATATCAAAGGTCTCTATGATGAAAATTACAAATTACTAAAGAAAGAAATAGAAAGAGATATTAAAAATGTAAAAACATTCCATGTTCATGGATTGGAAGAATCAACATCATCAAAATGTCTATAATACCAAAAACAACTGGCAGATTCAACGTGATCCCAATCAAAATACCAATGACATTATTTGAAGATATAGAACAAATGATGCTAGAATGCACATGGAAACACAAGAGGCTCCAAATAGCTAAAGCAATCTTATATAACAAAAAAAAAGCCAGAGCCATCACAATGCTGGATTGCAAGAAATACTACAGGGCAGTTATAATCAAAATAGCCTGGTACTGGCATAAAAACACACTTGTAGACCAATGGAACAGAATGGAAACTCCAGAAATCAATCCAACTTATATTTGACAAAGGAGCTAAAATCAATTCCTGGAGCAAGGACAGTCTCTTTAATAAATGGTGCTGGGGAAACTGGATCTCCATGTGCAGAAGTATGAAGCAAGATCCCTACCTTACACCTTACAGAAAAATCCACTGAAAAATGGATTAAAGACCTAAATCTATGACCAAATACCATCGAATCACTAGACAACTAGGACACAACTTTAAAACAAATTCCTTCTATTTTCAAATTCTGTTTTTCCTTCATGAAATTTCTTTTCTTCCTTCCTTTTGCTGCCAGTGCTCCAACAGAAACATATACAGATGGTAAAATTCGCCATAAAATAAACATTAAACAGTTAAGGACAATTAAGAACAGAGCCTAGAAAAAGCTTGTGCCTCACACACTTGTACTTTCAGGATCTTGCTTTTGAAACTGTTCAATACGACAATGACATCCTCCAGGTCTGGTTGAGAGTCAGCTCCTTCATGCCTAAAAGCAGAAAAACAGAAGTGTCTATATTTAATTGAAGAATAGACATTTGAATACAATGTATGAATAACAATTCATTTTACAATAAACAAAGGTGTTATACATGTAATATTTTGTTTCTGTCATTAATTCAGATACATTATAATACACCTTTCAAAACCACATTATTTTAACTTAATCAAAATTGTACGAAAATTGTGACTCATTAAATATTACCTAATCACTCATTTAAATTACTGCTTATCTTTGCTATTGAAGGCTACCCCAAAACTCAACTTTCACATCTCTGATATATTAAAATATTAACTGAAGCATGAAACATATCCAGACTTAAATGTAAGTTGTTTATGTCAAAAGAATTCTCCATTGTCCAAATAGTTTTTTTTTTTTTAACTTATTTGACAGGTAGAGTTAGATAGTGAGAAAGAGAGAGAGAAAGGTCTTCCCTCCGTTGGTTCACCCCCAAATGGCCACCACGGTTGGCATGCTGCACCAATCTGAAGCCAGGAGCCAGGTGGTCTCCCACGTGGGTGCAGGCGCCCAAGCACTTGGGCCATCCTCCACTGCCCTCCCAGGTCACAGCAGAAAGCTGGACTGGAAGAGGAGCAGCTGGGACTAGAACCTGGCGCCCATGTGGGATTCTGGCGCCGCAGGCGGAGGATTAGCCAAGTGAGCCACAGTGCCAGCCCCCCTCCCAAATAGCTTTTCAATATCTGCCAGCCACTTTGCAATGCCAAAATCTGAAATGCACTGTTTAATTTATGAGACTGAATGTTACTGCTGTCCATCTGTATTACTTAAATGTTTCTATTTATATAACATAAATGCAGTTCATTCTCTAATTTGCAAAGCTGCTTAAACAAATCAAGTATGACAGCTGTGCTCAATAATTATTTTGGTACTATTCCCACAGGACACTGAAAAATTCTATACTGAAATAATTACATTATTAAATTTTGTTGAAGTGGCAAGCTATTATGGGTGAAATCAATAGCTATTTTCAGTCCAGTTCTATTTGTAACATATAGGTAACATTTCTCTAAAATGAATATACTGGTTTTGTAACACTATTATTTTTTTTTCTTTTCCTTTTTTTTTTTTTTTTTTGACAGGCAGAGTGGACAGTGAGAGAGACAGACAGACAGAAAGGTCTTCCTTTTGCCGTTGGTTCACCCTCCAATGGCCGCCATGCTGCTGCCGGAGCACCGCGCTGATCCAATGGCAGGAGCCAGGTACTTATCCTGGTCTCCCATGGGGGTGCAGGGCCCAAGCACCTGGGCCATCCTCCACTGCACTCCCTGGCCACAGCAGAGAGCTGGCCTGGAAGAGGGGCAACTGGGACAGAATCCGGTGCCCTGATGGGACTAGAACCCAGTGTGCTGGCACTGCAAGGCGGAGGATTAGCCTAGTGAGCCGCGGCGCCGGCCTGTAACACTATTATTACTTGAACACAAGCCTTTGCCTCCTTCTTATTTCCAATTGCCTAGCTGAGATGGTTAAAACAAAGAAGTTAGAGCCCTGATCAACAATTGCCACAAAATACAAAAACAGTTCCAACTTGGACAGTAGAAATGTCAAATGGTTTCCACTGTTGGTGGCAATGAAAACATGACCCAGCCATCCCACTCCTTGGAATTTACCCAAAGGAAATTAAATTGGCAAATAAAAGAGCTATCTGTACCTCAATGTTTATTGCAGCTCAATTCATAAAAGCTAAGTCATCAACATAAACGCCCATCAACAGAAGACTGAATAAAGAAATTATGGGATATTTACTCTATGGAATACTGCACAGCGGTAAAAAAAATGAAATCTGATCATTTGCAACAAAATGGAGGAATCTGGAAAACATCATGCTGAGTGAAATAAGCCAGCCCCAAATGGACAAATATCATTTGTTTTCCCTAATCAGTGACAACTAACTGTGCACCTAAAAGGAAACCTGTAGAAGTGAAAGACACTATGAGAAGCAATGACTTTATCAGCCTTTGTCCTGTTGAGGAAGAGCTTACAATTTTATTCTTGCGGCGCTGGCACCCCGGGTTCTAGTCCCGGTTGGTGCACCGGTTCTGTACCAGTTGCTCCTCTTCCAGTGCAGCTCTCTGCTGTGGCCCGGGAAGGCAGTGGAGGATGGCCCAAGTACTTGGGCCCTGCACCCGCATAGGAGACCAGGAGGAAGCACCTGGCTCCTGGCTTCGGATCGGTGCAGCGCGCCGGCCATAGCAGCCATTTGGGGGGTGAACCAATGGAAGTAAGACCTTTCTCTCTGTCTGTCTCTCTAACTCTGCCTGTCAAAAAAAATTTTATTCTGTTTAGTATTTTCTTTTTCTACTTAATACCATAGGTTGAACTCTTTAATTAACACAGAATTATTCTTAGGTGTTTAAATTCAACTGAAAATTTATCCTGTTAAAAATAAGAGTGGGAGTAAGAGAGGGAGGAGATGTATAGTGTGTCACACACTTCCTCAGACTTACACCTAAGGGTAAAGCTAAAAACTTGCCATGAGAATCCAAATACTACTAAGTTGGCAGGTACCAATGCCATCCTACTAGTTAAAGTGATCAGTGTAAGTTCATAACTAATCATAAAGATAGGACTAAATGTCAGAGGGATCAAATAAATAAGACCAGTGTCTGCTAATAATAACTGATAGAATGAAAAAGGAGAGAACGATCCAACACGGGAAGCAGGATACACAGCAGACTCATAGAATGACACATGCCCTAAACAGCACTCTGGCCTCAGAAACAGCCCTTAAGGCATTCGGATCTGGCTAAAAAGCCCATGGGAATATTTCAGGCATGATGAGCCAAGAAACTGTGGCAAGAAAAATGACCTAAATGGGGCCGGCGCCGCGGCTCACTAGGCTAATCCTCCGCCTAGCAGCGCCGGCACACCGGGTTCTAGTCCCGGTCGGGGTGCTGGATTCTGTCCCGGTTGCCCCTCTTCCAGGCCAGCCCTCTGCTGTGGCCAGGGAGTGCAGTGGAGGATGGCCCAGGTGCTTGGGCCCTGCACCCCATGGGAGACCAGGAAAAGCACCTGGCTCCTGGCTCCTGCCATCGGATCAGCGCGGTGTGCCGGCCGCAGCACGCTGGCCGCGGCGGCCATTGGAGGGTGAACCAACGGCAAAGGAAGACCTTTCTCTCTGTCTCTCTCTCTCTCTCTCACTGTCCACTCTGCCTGTCAAAAAAAAAAATGACCTAAATGAAAGATATCTGTGAGTGAGATCCTTGTGGAAAGAAGGGGCCATCAAAGAAGGAGGTACCTTTCTCTGAAAGAGAACTTCCACTTTTCTTATAACCTTGCCTAAATAAAGTCAGAGTTTGCGAACTCAAGTGGCTTCCATAACCTTGGCAGCTCATGACAAGAGCCTTGGGTGATTATTAACATCATAAATAAAAGTGTCAATTGTTAAATCAACAACAGGAGTCACTGTGCACTTGCTCCCCATGTAGGACCTCTGTCCTTAATGTGTTGTACTATGAGAATTAATGGTAAAACTAGTCTTCAAACAGTACTTTATACTTTGTGTGTCTGTGTGGGTGCAAACTGTTGAAATCTTCACTCAGTATAGAATTGATCTTCTGTATATAAATATAATTAAAAATGAATCTTAATGAAGAATGGGATGGGAGAGGGATTAGGAGATGGGATGGTTTGAGGGTGGGAGGGTGGCTATGGCGAGAAGAACCACTATAATCCAAAAGTTGTACTTTCAAAATTTATATTTATTAAATAAAAGTTTTCTATTAAAAAAGAAATGGGCAAAGGATTTAAACAGACATTTTTCAAAAGAGAAAATCCAACTGGCCAACAGACACAGAAAAAATGTTCAGGATCACTAGCTGTCAGGGAAAGCAAATCAAAACCACAATGAGGTTTTACCTCACCCCTGTTAGAATGGCTCTCCTAAAGAAATCAACAAACAACAAATGCTGGTGAGGATGTCGGGAAAAAGGGACCCTAATCCACTGTTGGTAGAAATGTAAACTGTACAGCCACCATGGAAGACATTTTGGAGATACTTCAGAAATCTGAATATATTCGTACCATATGATCCAGCCATCCCACTTTTGGAAATTTATCCAAGGGAAATGAAATCAGCAAATAAAAGGGGTATCTGCACCTCAATATTTATTTCAGCTCAATTCACAATAGCTAAAACACGGAATTAAGCTAAATACCTATCTACTGAAGACTGGATAAAGAAATTATGGGATGCCTACTCCATGGAATACTACAAATTATAAAAAAATGAAATCCGGTCATTTGAAACATAATGGATCATTCCAGAAAGCATCATACTTACTGAAATAAGCAAGTCACAAAAGGACAAATACCATGTTTCTCCCTGATTGGTGCTCTGTTAGAGTACCTAAAAGGAAACCTGAAAATGTGAAACTGACTCTTCAAACACTTTGAAAAGCAATGACCTAAACAGCCCTCGTCATGACTATTGAGGAACAGTTCTATTTTTATTTTCTTTTTCTTTATGAATACCATTGCTTTAAGTGTTAACCTAACAGAATTAATTGTGTGTATAAAGTCATTTGAAAAATACATCTTGGGGAAAAAGTAAGAGTGGGATTAAGAAATAGAAGAGGAAGTTTGTAACTGTAAAGCTGTATAGTTCTGCATAGGATCCTACAGATTTACTTCTAAGAGTACAGTTTAAAAATGTCCCATTGGACTGCAAATCCCATTAAGCTGAGTGGTAAAAATGCCATCTCAAGTGTTAAAAAGTGATCAATTTTAGTGTTAAAGTGAGCAAATAGATAGACTAAGTGTTAAAGGCACTATACAAATATGATCTAGTGTCCAGCAAAAAGCATAGATAGAAATAAAAAGGAGAGATTGCTCCAACATGGGAAGCAGTCCACACAGCTGACTTATAGAATGATAATTGCTTTAAATAGCACTCTGACCTCAGAATCAGCCCTTAAGGAATTCTGGTCTGGCAGAAAAGCCCATGAGAGCATTTCAGGCATGGAAAGCCA